AGCACTTATGAGACTTACTAGAAATGGAACTAGTTACATTTCTGGATCAGATGACTCAAGAGTCTCTTGGTCACATCAGTTTACCATGTTACAGGTACTCTGGCCCTCAACTTGTCAGGTCCCTAAGGCCTCTGCCTGCTCTTTGTTCTTTCTGTTGTTAGGTGCCATAGGTACAACTCCTGGCAACTTTGTAAACAGCAGATCTGGAGCTTGTCCTATCCTTTGCCATCCTCACAATCTGACAAACTCAACCCCATTGCTGCAGTCACTTTGTCAGTACATCTAGTTAAAGGTCTTCCTCTCATTTGTCACCCCGCCACTAAGTGTAATGTCCTTCTCCAAGGAATAGCCTTTTCTAGCAACATGTCCAAAGTATGTGAGATGAAGCCTCATCATCTTTGCCCTAAAGTGGCACTCTGGATACACTTTCTTTAAGACATACCTGTTCTTTTGGCAGACCATGGGATATTCCGTATTCTTGGCCAATACCATGGTTCAGATGCATCCATTCTTCTGTCATCCTTCTTTGTCCAGCTCTCAGATGTATAGCAAGTAACTGAAAAGATCATAGCCTGAATCAGGCACTCCTTAGTCCTCAAACTGACGTAATTGTTCCTCAATAATTTGAAGAGGTCCCTGAGTACAGACTCTCAGTGCAGTTGTCGTTGGGTGCCATCGAGTCAAGTACAGCTCATAGTGACCCTGACCCTAGAAACAAAAGATTTGAACCTAGTCCTGTCCTGTTCCATCCTCATGCTTCCTGACACGCAAGGGCCCATTGTGGCAGTCAGCGTGTCCATCTGATTGAGGGTTTTCCTCTTCTTCCCCGACCCTCCACTCTTCCTAACATCATGTCCCTCTCCAAGGAATAGCACATCCTACTGATATGTCCAAAGTGTGAGGCAAAGCCTCATCATTGCCTCCAAAGAGCACTCCAGCATCACCCTCTGTAGCACCAGGGATATCATTGCTGGTGTCAGATGGATCCTGGCTGAAAGTAAGGAATACTGGAAGAATGTCTGTGTGGGTCATGAGCGTGGCTGATGTTGAGAGGAATGGGAATCCCAGAGCACTTGATCATGCTCATGCGGAAACTACCTGGATCAAGGGGCTGTTGTGAAAAAGGTGCAGGGGAGCATTGCATAGATTGGAATTGGGAAGGGAGTGAGCCAGAGAGGAATTGTATCTCCATACCTCTTCAGTCTATGCTGAGCTAGTTACTCAGTGAAGTATGTGTCCTTATAGCCTGACTGTTGGTAGCAAGTGTACTGACTGGATCCAAGTAAGATGAAGTTGTTGACATTGTCAGTCTTTTCTCCATCTATCATGATGTTCCTTGTCATTTCAGTGGTGAGTATTTTTGTTTTCTTGATGTTGAGATGCAACACATATTGAAGGTTACAGTTTTTTATTTTCTGCAGTAAGTGCTTCAAGTCAGGTAACAATTTGGAGAGGTCCTTGACAAAAGATTTCCCCAGTACAACAAATCTTTTGCTTTCTTGACTGCTGTTACCATAGGTATTGGTTATGGATCCATGTAAAATGAAATGCTCAGATTCCGGGTTTTTTTATGCCTTTGCATAATTAATAAAACTTAAACGTCTTACTGGTATTCTTTACTTTCAGCCAGCCTCTATCTTCCATCAGCAATGATATCCTTTATGCTGTGACCTCTTGAATCTAGCTTGAATTTCTTGAAGTTCCATGTTTAATATACTGTTCCAGCCATTTTAAAATAATCTTCAGTATGATTTTACCTTCATGTGATATTAATGATTTTGTTTGAGAATTTCTGCATTCTGTTGGGCCATCTATTTGGGGAATGAGAACAAATATAGATATTTCTCAGAAAGCCAGTAGCCCCAGTGGCTGTTTCCCAGTTTGTTGGCAGACTGATGAGGCATTAAGGGCTGCATCTGCTTTCTCAGCTAATTGGTATTCCATTCTATCGGCTGTTGCTGCTATTGTGTGGTACTGACTCATAGCTGACCCTTCAGCAGTTTTTCAAACCACTAAATAGCATGGGAGAAGAGTTCCCATCCTTCTCCTGCAGAGGTGCTGATAGATTGGAACCAAATGCCTTTTTGGGATTGTATTGCAGCTGCTTCTTGCCACCTAGCCACCAGAGCTTCCTTCTTATGCCAGTAGGCAAGTGCAAAGAGCCTTTCTTTGAGATCCTGAAATTAGGGATCCATGAACAGTTTAAACCTGCTTCTTATGTCACTTGTTATGTGCCATGAAGTCGTAGACGATGTATAGTGACCCTACGAACGAAAGTCTTGAACATAGAACTTACATAATATCTCCCAAATTTGCAGATTTTCTGGAGGCAAGCTTTTTTTTTTTGGAAGTGGAGGCCACACCTGCTTCCAAACCTTTGCTGAATCCAGCCGTTCCACTCATTTTCCCAGCCTGGAAATGGCCCCATTATGTCAGTAAGCAAGTGCAAAG